CTTCCACCAGTTGCAGGCAAAAACCGCCTATATATCCCTTCAACAAATGCACTGAAAGGCCTCTCCGCCAAGTTGCAGGCAGCGGAACCAAGCAAGTCAGCAACAGCTACGTTGCCCCCACGACTAACCCTAGCCCATGACCCGAACGTTCTCGGTTCCAAGTACCACACAGAAACCGGCCTGACGGATATAACCCCACCACAGTACCCCCCGGCTGTTCTGTTGTCGCCTGAAATTGTCAAGGGGCAATCAAACTTCACTGATGGTTGTTTTGTCGGCGAGATGCAGGCCGGGAATGACGGAACCCTGATTGATGCGGCGACTGCATTTGCGGATTCCGGACGAGAGTCTCAGGAGAAGAGCTCATCCAGCGCCAACTCCGCAGATGCTGTGCAAGACCTACCCGCACCTGTAGATGGTGATAGCTCCTCCAGCGAGATGGATTTTCAGGTTGCCCAAGTGGATGTGTAAATGGCAATCAGTTGTTTGCACGTACTGAAGTTTGCTTAAATTTTTCACGGACTTTACCTTTTTAATAATTGTTAGTTGCTTCTCCGTACTCCCACGTTTTGCGGCCCACTGTCTGAGCCTGCGTCCATGGTATATAGCCCATCTGGAATTGGCGTTTTAATATGTATAAAGCTTTTGCACGCATATAATTCATGTTCTGTACTGTTCGGTGCTTGTACTCTGCTCCCGTACAATGGAGCAAAAATCAACAATTTTTCTCCATTCTGAGTCTTTTTGTGGAAGGGCGCCATGCCGGTAGCACGTAGTAAATGAGGTCTGTAACTTTTTTTTCCTAAATTTGCCTAGGAGAGGTGGCGGGACACCCTAAACTCAAGTACAAATCAAAGGTTGAAAGCCAGCTGGAATATGAAACCTTTGAGAAATTATTTTAATTGCATTCAAAAAAACGCGGCCTATTTGTTTTCAATGCTGAACACCTTAAATGATCACCTATTTCAAACTTTTAAATTTCAAATAGTTCATCTTCGTGGCCCTGTCATTTTCAGTGGGAAACTACTGGTTTCCAACTTCGTCAACTTCCATAGCATTCCTTTTGTTATGCTGTTTTAAGTTCTGCAAATATTCCCGTGTTAAATTTGTAGAGTCAATTTGGCAAACATGTGTTTTCAGCAACTTTTCATCAGGCCAGTACATTTTGCAGGGATAATGAAAATTGTCCAGTTGGACAGGATTACTAAGTGTACTTTGATTAAAACTCATGGTTTTCACGCCACCCGCATGGCGAGATCGGCGTGTAGAGGTCCTTGTGCGGAGAGGGGGGGAGAAGGGAAGGGTAGGAATTTCGGTAAGGTTGTGAGCTTTGAGCAGGGATCAGGTATATGTCGTGATAATTACTCTTATTTGACCGGAGTGAACGACTGTCACTAGGGTGTGGGGAGGATGTGCGAACGCCACCTGCCGTCGGGTTCGGCCACGGAAGTGAAGGTGCTTGTGTTAGCGTACTCTGACAACACAGCGCTGGATTCGCCAGCCTTACAGCCACTGCTTCAGCTGTTACAAGCACCTGTTGGCCTAGATCCTTTGAATAGTTAGCTAGTGTCCGGTAGACAAACGGAAGGCCTTCAATAGTATCGAACCAATGAGTCGTATGGACAAGGTGTGCGAGTGTAGAACTGGAGATAGATCAAGTTTAACCACTATTTAATCAGGCCGGTATGTGCTCACGTACCCTCTTTTCCAGGCGCCTCGTTATTCAGCCGATATATCCTGCTCCAGAGGAGCAATTTAAAGAATAACTGAACATAGATGTCGCCTTCAATGGGAGTCAGTCTTTATCTCCTAATCGTAGAAGAGGAGAGTTCATGAAGAACACGCGTAAGTTCGCCCATCCCCCAGTTTCCCCTTTCGTCAACTTCCTTAACATTCTTTTAGAAATTTTGTTTTGTTGTCCAGCTGTGCATGGTTTTATTGCTACACTGGGACAAGCGATTTCAGCCAGATCGTGCGTGTATGCTTTGAATACATTTATCTATTTCACAGATGGCATGTAATGGCAATCAATTTGCTCATTAGATGTATCTTCATTGTTTACTAACGTGCCGGTAGTGGAAACCATAGAGTACTTATGCGACTTTATACATCAGACAAACTACCAGATAGGGATGCCAGTAGAGACGCTAAAGGAACTATTGACGTGCTGCACGCAAAACGTACAGTTCCTCTGCAATGGCCAGTTGTACAGGCAAATAGACGGTGTGGCCATGGGCTCACAACTGGGACCACTCCTCGCGAATGTCTTCATGGGCAAAGTCGAGGAATCGAACCTCAAAGACACTATCAACAACTTTGAGTTCTATGGTCGTTACTTGGATGATATTTTTTGCCTGATGAAGCAGACTACCGATATAGACGGCTTAGTTCATACGCTCAATATGGCCCACACAACACTAAAGTTCACTGTGGAAACGGAGGTGAACAGCGAAATCGTGTTCCTAGATGTCCTCTTGCACAGAAAAGAGAACGGG